CAAAGTAGCAGCAATGGCTTCTCCATGCAGCAGTCAGCTCTTTTTCATTCAGGATATCTAACAATGTAAATCTGGTAGGAGAAGGAAGACAAGAAGGAGAAGGAGGAGGATGGAGAGGAAGAGAAAGGGGGAGGAGGAGAACAGGCACAGAGAAGGCAGAGGTAAAGGAGAAGGAAGTGAGCATTGGAAGGGTGAGGAAGAGGATAAGTGAAGAGGAGAATGAGACAAGTAAAGAAGGAGGAAAGGAAAATGGAGGAGGAGGAGGGAGAGAGCACCAAAGAAAGGAAGAAAGGGAAGAAGGCAGGAAGAGGAGGGAAATGAGGAACAGAAACCCCAAGCCTTGGCTTCCCCTAGTCTAGAAAGGCTTCCTGGGGAGAGCATCTGCTGAGAGTGTCTATGTCAACTTCCCATGTTGTGTGATCCAGCCTCTCTGTCACCCAGAGGAACAGCTGAGGGGAGAGAGATGCCTCTGCATGCTCTATAAACTGTGAGATAAGGGGATGGAGGAGCTTCAATGAAGATCAAAGTGGGATGATCACATTGACAATGGCAGAGCAGAAGAGCAAAGGTTAAAATTACACCATGGGCCACTCTTAGGAGCATGTAGGAGATAGGGAGCAGAAACAGAGGGATAATGATGGATACAGGACGTGACTGACCTATAGTTCCCTGGAGTCTGTGTTTAGTCATTAACAATAGAAATACTATCACTACTAAGTAACTAATGGTAAAGACTGATACATGTGTAGCAGAGTGCCAAAGAGGCAGGGGAGACAGTGACAGTAAGCACTCCATAAGGATGAAGTAATTGGGCTGTGAACTAATCAGAGGCAGGGTGTGGGAGGTCTTTCTCTCTATGTGTTGCTTTTATTGGTTAATGAATAAAGAAAACTGCTTTGAGCCTATGGCAGTGAAAAACAGAACTAGATGGGGAAGGCTAGGTGGGAGAAAAAAAAGGTGGAATTAGAGAGAAGCCATGGAGCTGCCAGAGACAGATGCTGGGAACTTTAGCTGGTAAGCCACAGCCACGTGGTGATACACAGATTAATAGAAATGGGTTAAGTCAATATGTAAGAGTTAGCCAATAAGAAGCTAGAGCTAATGGGTCAAGCAGTGATTTAATTAATACAGTTTTTGTGTGATTATTTGGGTCTTAGCTAGCCAGATGGCTGGGAACCAACAAGCAGCCTCCTTCTAACAGAGGCACACATACATCCGAAATAGAAATAGAGAGGAAAGCAGGCAAGCTGAGTTCTCTAGATAGAGAGGAAAGCAGGCAAGCTGAGTTCTCTAGATTACCTTCTAGCTCATCTTGTGGCTAAATAACAGCACTTATTATTATTGTAGACAAATAATAGCAAATAAAATCTTTAAATAAATAAAATTGATATATATATATATAGAGAGAGAGATTATATGTGAGCATGTGTGTATCTATGTCTAATTATACCTGAGTGTTTGTTTTATGGCTTATGTTTTCATAAACATTTTGTTTCTTCAGTGTTCTATGACCCACATATTGTCCTTTCAACATTTAAAGTTTGTTTAAATGGTTTTTAAAACTTTCTTGGAATATTGGAAGGAAAGACAGAAGTCTATAGAGTGTTTGGAGTGCAGGCTGTGTTCTCTGCATCCCAGCTCTGAAGAATAGTCTAGATCGCTACTTGCTGAGTGATTGGCAGACTGGGCCCCCCTGGGAGCGCAGCCTCCTAGGCAGTTAGATTCACTCTCTTTGGGAAGCCTGGGGCTAGGAGGCAATATTTAGAACAATACTTGATGTAAAATACCAAGAAGAATTGTTAGTGAAACAGAACAGTGCAAAGCAGAACTCAGCAGATCCCCAAACTCAAGGGACCATGACAAGTGGAAATAGAATTACTTGTGAAACCTTAGGGAACTCCTGGCTTGTCCCAAGTCCCCAGGACGCAGAGGGGCAAGGAACAAATGCTGCAAACTAGCAGTAATGAATGTTGATTATTAAGTGTTGTAGATAAGTCTCTCTCCCTTTGTCAATCTGTCTCTGTGAGAGACAGAGACACAGAGAGGGACAGAGACAGAGAGAAAATACAACTCAGGTGTTATTTTTCAGGAACTGTTCACCTTGCTTTTGAGAGTCTCTCACTGGCCTGGAAGTCACCACTTAGGCTACAGTCCCCAGGGGTCTGCCTCCCTCAACCTTCATAGTTCTGGGGTTAAAACTGAACACCACCAAGTCTAAGTCTGGTATATTTGAGGTGGAATCTGGGTATTGAGTTCAAGCCCCTTCTGTTGCAGGGCAAGCACTTCACTGACTGGCACCTCCCCAGCCTCAGGTAAATCTATATTTTTTTAGTTTTTAATTTTTTATTATTCTTTCATATATTACATTCAGATTGTAATTCCCTCCCTCCTCTCCTCCAGTCCCTCTGTCCATCTCCCCACCCCTACCACTCACTCCTCCTCTGTTTCTCTTAGGAAAAGGCAGGCCTCCCATGGATATCAACCAAACATGGCATATCAAGTTGCAGTACAACTAGGTACCCCCACTCATATTAAGACTAGATGAGGTGACCCGGTGGGAGGGAAAGGGTCCCAAAAGCAGACCAAAGGTTCAGAGATAGTCCCTGATCCACTGTTAGAAGTCCTGTAAGAAGAGAAAGCTATACATATGTACAGAGGACCTAGGTCAGACCCATACAGGTTCCATGGTTGTCACATCAGTCTCTGTGAGCCCCTATGATCCCAGGTTAGTTGATTCTGTGGGTTTTATTTTGGTAATATTTTGATATATTCATAGATCATTGTCTATCCTAATTGTCATGAGAGAGGCTTCATTCAGCAACTGATGGAAACAGACCAGAGCCCCACAGCCAAACTTAAGGTGGAGTTCAGGGAATCCTGCCTGGCTACTAGCCAATCAGCATTTTATTAAACAAGTACAAGAAACAAATCTTCACAGGGTAAAACCGTTGTCCCACAGCAAAAAGTCACTTCTGGAGGAGGTCATTTTGGTTTTTGGTTCCAGAAGGAGAACTGGTGATGGGAACAGGAAGCTGGAGCAGAGAACTGTGAGATTACATTATCAAACATAAGAATTAAGTAGAAAGACTGAACTGGAAGTGAGAGAAGGCTACTAACTCTTGAAGACCCACCCCTCAGTGACCTTTCCTTCAGCAAGGCTGTGCTTCCTAAAAGTTCCATAAACTCCCAAAAACTGTCGCCAACTAGGGACAATGGAGCCCATGGGAGGTGAGGGAACAATTCATATTCATTCCACCACAGAGTAATATTATATTTTTAATCAGGAAAATCTATGATTTAGCATTATCCTAAGAATAATAGATGTGTGCACCCAAAGGGTGTGCTATGCAATTGTGCTTGTAATAGGAAAAGTATAAGCAAAATAACTGTCAATGAGCAGAGACATTCTTCCACTGACGGATGCCCTCTCACCAGTAAAATCACAAGGGGATCACTTAGTTACACATTCTGACAGGAAAGTCTTCAGTATGTACACTGTTATATAAAAATAAGTCAAGTAGTTGGGTCTTTAATACCACTACTTGGGAGACAGAAGTAGGTAGACCTCTGTGAGTTCAAGGCCAACCTGGACTATACTGTGAGCTACATAGTGAGACTGTGTTATAGGAGGCCGCTTGTTTGTTTCCAGCTGCTCAGCCCCAAAATAATCACACATTAACCATAGTATTTGCAATCCTGTTTGGCCAATAACTTAGGCATATTTCTAGCTAACTCATACCTTAAATTAACCCATCTCCACTAATCTATGTATCACCATGTGGCTGTGACTTACCTGGCAAAGTTCCTACCGGCATCTGTCTGTGGTGGAGTTACATGGTGTCTCCTGACTCCACCCTCTTTCTCCCAACACTCAGCCTAGCTTTTCCCTCCTAGTTCTGTTCTGCCCTGCCATAGACTCAAAGAAGTTCCTTATTAATCAATGATAATCACAGTACACAGAGGGAAATCTCACATCAAGAATCTGTTTCAAACAAACAAGTTATCACACACTTAGCATTTGTAGATTCTTAGTTAAAACAGCAACAAAACAGAGAAATATCTGTAATACATATTACGCATGACTTATCAGATAGCCTGAATCATCTATCCCCTTCAATCTTTCCACAGCTCTTTTTAATTTATTGCAGTGTAATTTGCATATAGTCAAATGTGAAAACTAAAGAACAAAGTTCAAAGGCATTGTGTAAATGAGCATACACGTGCCCTTGCACACACACACATACACATACACCATGTAGACTAAGGATTTGAAGAGTTCAATATCCCAGAATGCTTTTTAATTTCTATTTCTTTTTTGTTTCCTTTGGGACAAAGTCAATTATCACAGGTTGACCTTGAACTCTCTATATAGCTGAGGGTAACTCTGAACTTCTGACCTTCCTACCTACATCTTCCTTGGTCTGGGTGTGTGTCACAGGTCTGGTGTAGAAAATTTCTTTATGGGCTTTTCCAGTTATCCCTATCTGTGACTAACCAGTGGTTCGTTGCTCTTGCTTCCAGCCCCAAACATTTCCGTGCCTGCATTTTGAGTAGCATACAGATGGAATCAGGCACTGTGCACTTTTCTGTTTCTGGGTTCTTTCACTCATACAACGCATTTGGGATTCATGCATGCTGCCCTATGTGTCAGTAGGCCTTTCTCTCCATCACTGAATACCACTCCAATGGGAGACGTTCTATCATTTGTTTGGTCATTATCCTGTTGATGGACACTTGGGTTGTTTCCAAAATTTTTGTGAAAGCTTCATTAATTTTTGCAAACAAGCTGCCCCATCTGCTTTGCCCTCTTTCTGTTCCCAACAGCCCCCTCCATGTTACTCCCTCTCCAGACTTTGCCCAAGCCCAGATGTCATTCCTGACCACAGGAAACCTCATTACCACTTTTCTCTATTTGTCTCCCTCCATATAACTTAAATTTAAAGTCAAACTTAACTTTCAAATAACTTAAAGCAACACACAGGTGCAGCGCCAGGACCTACCATTTCCCAGTGGCAGAACTCCACAGCCTAAATGAAAACCTAGAGAAAAACAAAGATAACATCAGGTATTTCCCTGCATGCTACTTGCCTGTACTATAGCTCTGGATGTAATGTTGGGTATACACAAAAAATATTCACTTCATGTAGCCTTCATAGGAGGTCAGCAGTGTGATGACAGATACACCTTTATCAACAACAACATCATTACTTTGGTGCCAGCTCTGAGCTGGAGGCTCATTCTAGAATTCCACAGGTGCTTTCATACCTAATTAGCTATTATGACCTAAGAAACTAACTCAGTTTTAATGTATACAAAATCAAACTATTAGTTCTTATTGATATTTGAAGTTTAGGAAAGACACAGTCCATTGTGTTTTTAATTTAATTTTGTCCAATTCATGACTTTGCATTTAATTCTACAAGTTTCCACTATCAACCATCATCCTATGACCATTTCAAAGCATTAATACCACATAATAGGCAGTTACTAATGGTTATTTTTTTTTCCTTGATAAGCAAGTGTCATGATAACAGGGACTTTGCATCTTGGTAAGTACCTTATTCTCATCCCTATAAGAATGCCCATTCAGTGGGCTTCCAGTATGTATTTATGAGTGCACTCATGAGCTTGGTTAACACTTGCTTAGCCATGGGTAACCCTGAAACTTAATGCTACCAATCACAAGTTGAAGATCCAAAGTCTATCCTCCTTCCATCTGTTTACATGTCTGTCTTAGTGTAGCCAGAAGTGACGCCCCTTCTGCTCAACCATCTAATGACTTTGAGTTTAGGAACGTTCTTCCTTCTCCTAAGATGACATTCCTCAGCAAAGTCAGAGCCCCTTCAACTAGGTAGAAAAGAAGCTCAGCTAAAAGTCCTTCTGCTGAGCACCCAACAGCTTCTATTTCCCTGAGACGTCATGCTGTTGACAGCATTTAATTCAGATGAGAAGCGACACCCACATCCTGACGGCTCAGCTTCCAGCAAAAGGCTAGTGACAAGTTCCATTACACAGAAGGGTGAGCCAGGTGTCCTAGAAAAACTCCAGCCTCTCAACTCCCATCTACCTAATTAGATTCTCTCTGCAGAGCTGCTGGGCTTCTTCCTCTGTAGCAAGCAATGGCAGAGTGGAAGATGGGGACCACGGAATAGCAGAGGTCAGCTGACAAGAAGGAAAAAGGGAAGAGGATTTGGGAGATGAAGAGATGACCATAAAACCGACCCATCCCCAACCTTAGCAAAACATGCTTTTACTTCAATTGCACGTGTGTGTCTGCGGTATACATGTATGTATGTATGCATATCCTTGTATGCGTAGGAACTTACTCAAGTGTATGTTTGCATGCACATGTTTATGTTCATGAAAGCCTGAGGCTGATATTTTCCCTAATGCTCTTTACATTATGTACTGAGGCAGGCCATCTTCCTGTCCTCAGAGTCCTATCTAACCAGCTTGTCCAAGGGTCCTGTCTCCACCATTCTACCTGGTTTTCCCCTGCGCTCTGGGAATCCAGCCCAGTTCTCACTATTACATAAGTACTTTACCACCAGAGTCATCTCCCCAGCCCCCAGGATTCATTCTGTTTAAAGGCACCAAAGACAAAGTTTTATTTTGACTTCGGGTTCTAAATAGAGGTCCCATAATGGAGAGAAAGCCATGGAAACGGGAAGCCAGAGCAGGAAGCAGGCTGATCAAATGTCATCAACACTGTTGGAAACAGAGAGCAAACTGGAAGTGGGCTGAGGTAATAAACCCTCAAAGTCCCCAACGCCAGCAGTGACATCATTCCTCCAGCAAGACTCCAACTCCTAGAGGTTCCATAACTTTCACAAATAATAACATCAACTAGGGACCAAGTGTTCAAATAGCTGACCCAATGGGAGACATTTTTCATTGGAAACCCAGCAAATGTGCTTCTCTGATAGTCTGAAGGACACTTGGTTGTGTATATAGGAAGCATTAAATGAAACTGTTATTAACCCTAGACACCTTGACCTTCATTTCCTTCCTTGTTGTCCAGGAAGTGGGAGAGATACTTGAGATCTTTCTCCAGCAAAGAGAACTTGATGAGAAACTATGACAATAATTGAGACTCGAACCAGTCAAGAAACAGGCTAGGTTTATCAAGGCCTTTGTGACTGATAACAATAAGCTGACATTAAAATGTATGTGTACATGTACATGTGACTGTATGCATAAACATGTATATCTATATGTGTGTAAGTACATATGCATGCAAGTGTGTGCCTGCATGAGTGTCTGCATGCATGTATATCTATGTATGTGCCTCTGTATCTATGTATACACATGGGCATGTGTGTATATGCATACATGTGCATGTGCTAGAACAAACCACATACATTTAGAAAGCTTCCTTAAGCTTTCAGAGCAAAAAGGAGGGCTCTGTGGTCCACATCAAACTCAACACAAGGAAAAATCATTAACATCCTTGTGACAATGACACGTGCTTTCCCATAAAAACCCAAGCTTTACTTAATGGCTAATGAGAAACAGCTCAGAAAATCTAACTGCTGGAAAGAGCATGCTTTGCATGGAAAGATTCTTATGTGGCTTTTATCACCACAAAGAGAACTCAGCTTTCTGACAATCACACTACTGGACAAATACATCCTTAGTAAAGACTAACACCTCAAGGTGGGTTAAGCTGGAGCAACTCAGACATCAGTCCAATAGGCAGGTGTACATTCAAGGGTTTTGTAGCACACTCAAGGAGAAGTGGGACTCCTGCTGGCTAAGAAGGATTGTAGACTAGAGTGGCCCCTTCCTTGTTAATCACCATTGAGAAGCTGAACTAAAGCATCCCAAGGACATAACATAGATTACCATTAAGTGGTATCTTGTGACTCATAAGGCAAAGCCACAGAGTCGAGTAAACCAATTAACTTAAGATAAAATAGAGCGAAGAAGCTGTCATAGGGGACCTAAGTCCTCCAGTGAAGGAAGCCTTTCTATAGATTTGGTTTCAGGGCATTCCATGCGAGGCTTGAGGATAGAGGCTATCAGATGACCAAGATGAAAAAAAGAAAGCAGAAATGATTTACATATACTACATATTGAGGTCCTGAGTGCTTGGAATGTTCTGGCAGCTGCAGGAACTAGGGGGTCTTAAGCAGGAAAAATAAAAGAGGGAGCTCACTGAAAAGGAACTTTCTGGTTCTAAGAACCATTCCTGACCCTTCCTACTTCTAGCAGTAAGTGCCTTGGCCTGTGAGCACTGGAAAATGAGTCGTGGTTGTGTGAAGAGATGAACCTGAGATTGGATGTGACAAAGCACCAGAGACATATTCAACCTCCATCCCACTATGGTCCTCAGCCAAGTTTTCCAGTGTGCATATTGGAACTGCAATAGTACTGAAGCCCGAAGCTTGAAGTGGTCTCTGGGGCTTGAAGCTCTCTGTCCCACCTTTCATAAGGCTCTTTTGAGAAAGAATAACAGGGGCCTGGAAAGATGGCTCAGAGGTTAAGAGCACTGGCTGCTCTTCCAGAAGAACTGAGTTCGAGTTCAATTCTCAGCAACCACATGGTGACTCACAGCCATCTATAAAGAGATCTGGTATCATCTTCCAGCTTGCAGACTTACATGTAGGAAGAACACTGTATTCATAGAAAATACACAAATCATTTTTAAAAAGAGAGAAAGAATAACAGAAACCGGTAGAGCAAGGCATGCTAGCTCAAACTGAAAAGGCCAGGACTCGGGAGGAACACAAGACAAGCTACAAATTCCAAGCTATCCTGGGCTAACAAGTGAAACTGTCTCAAAAATAATCAAAGCAACTTCAGACCCCCTGCCCATAGAATGACGCTGCTGGTTAAAGTTAAAGCATCCCTGTATCACCTTCATCCAAGAAGGAGCTTTCAGTCCTTCTATAGGCCGAGGTGGGTTACTGTCTCTTTCAAAGACCCTCCCATGGTAGAAGTGGTGAGAACGCACACAAAAAGAGTCAGTGAGAAACATCAGAGTGCCGGAGTAAAGGGAAGCTGCCTACTTTTGTTCTGATAATCCCCACATTTCCACTTGGTGGGGGGAATGGTGCTTCAAACCTTCACGGAGCCATCCTAAGTCACGACAGAAGGGCTTCTCTTTCCAATTGAATCAGGATCAAATGTCAAGTTCGTCTCCTGGCACTTAAGCAACTGCTAGTCATTAAGGAAGAGATAGCACACGCCCACGCATGTGATAATGACGGATTACTGTTTTTCATTGATGTGGTGTCAGTTCAGTATAACATCTTCCGCTTTTATTCACTGAGCAAGGCTGAGCATCCATCATGGTTGCAAGTAGACTGCTTCTAAGGTCGGAAATGCATTGTTCAAAGGCAATGCGCATGTGTCTCCTGTGGCTAACAGAAGCCAGGAGGGTGTGAAGAAGAACAGTAGGAGATTAGCGCACTCGGGCTGCGATTCCCCTCCCCTTAACTTGTGGGTGGCTTTGGCATATGCTGCTGCCATCTCTGAGTCTATGCTTTTCATGCACAAAGTGGAGGCTGTGTGGGATTCGTGTCACGACAGGTTAGAAAGGGAACTCACGAAAACCTGGCTCTTGGCCACCTAGATAATTCCAAGAAAGCTTAGGTGTTTCTAATAATCCTCAGTACTCACTAAGTCCCTTAGAGAATGGATGGAATTGAAAAGAAGGCAAAAATGTCCATCATTCTATAAACCCCTTTCCAAGTCTCTGGGTCCAGTCTTGCCAGCACAACCTATCCAGGCTCAGCCTCCCATCCTCAGTAGCCCAACTACAAGCAATAAGTCATGGTGAGAAGTTGAGCAAGGAGACTCAGTCAGTGGAGCCACCCTGGGAAGAGAAACAAAGAAGTGTAGTTACCTTCAGGTCCATCTTATGGGTTAGGTTTAAACAGAGGGCAAGAAGTATACACTGCTAAGCGGCTCTGATCAAGATGTGACCTGGGTCTGACATGTCAAAAATGCATAGAACAATATTTACTGAAGACAAATTCCTTCTCTTGCTGGCATGGGTTTCAGGGTTTTCCTTCTCAAGAACATGAGATTCCTG